GACCGCAGCACCAGACCTTCGCTGAGGGGTGTTGTGTGTGGTCAGTGCTGGGGAAGACAATGTGTGCTCCATGCTGGTCGAGTATCCCACGTGCGGCTGGGTTGTTTAGTGTGGCATTCAAACCTTTTATGTTCTTTCTGCTTTTTCTTGTGTGCATGTCCCAAGTATGATGACAACCTCTGGGGACACATCCGCTTCTTATAATCCCGACAACTTTTGCTCTGCATTTCTTCAGACTCCGTTATTAATTTTATTTTGGTTAGAATTTTCCTGGGTCTGTCTTTTCCTTTCAATCACTCTCTAATCTTGGGTCTTACATATTTCTCTGTATAAAATCTGATTTTTTTCTTTTTTAGAGTGAAAGCGGATTTATTCTGGGAGAGACACACTCCATAGACAGAATGTAGTCCATCTCAGAGGGCAAGAGGGCCCAAACTCTGAATCCAAACTGACCACTCTCTTAACCAGCGCATCTCACATTTACGTCCTGTGTGATTGTCTGTGTATACAGATGGTGTGGACTGTGCACACAGATTACTCCAGAACAACAAACACCTGCTCACCCACACATTTCTGAGGGCCAGGGATCCGAGAGGGCCTTAACCTTGTGGTCCAAGCCCCAGGTGTCACATGAGGTTCGGTCAAGGCCGTGGCCAAGGCTTGACTCGGGTGGGGTCCGCTTTCCAAGGGTTCACTCACCCGGGTGAGGGCTGGAGGCCTCACGTTGTCCTCACCTCGCGGGCCCTCCAAAGGGCCGCCTGAGTGACCTCACGGCAGCTGGAGCATCTGCAGAACAAGAAATTCCAGACCAGCCCCTGGAGTCCTGTCTTCTGCGGCTCAGCCTGAGAAGTCACGGTGTCACCCCTGCCATGTTCTGCTGGCCACACACCCGACCTGATGTGACGTGAGGGGTCTGCCCCGGACCGGGGCGCAGGAGGCGGGGCTCACCAGGGGCCGCCGTGGAGGCTCACGCCCACAGGGCCTCTGGTCTGATCGCATCTGATGTCTGTTTATCCTTCTTCAGCTCGTGTTCCTCTTTCTCTTTGTCCTTGCCTTATTTTCATTCATGCTTTTGTCATTTCAGTTTCTCCTCCTCCTGGTTTGGAGGTCACACACTCTGTTTCTGGTCTTTTGGCTGCTGCATAGAAATGACCAGCTGCATGCTGAGGTTAATGTCTAAATCCTACTTTTATTCCCACCCGGACAATTGGTGCTAGTGGTAAAGAACCTGCCTGCCAACGCAGGAGACGTAAGAGACACAGGTTCACTCCCTGGGTCAGGAAGATCCCTTGGTGGAGGAAATGGCAACCCACTCCAGTGTTCTTGCCTGAAGAAGCCCATGGACAGAGGAGCCTGGAGGGCTGTGGTCCACGGGGTCGCAGAGTCGGACACGACGAAGCGACTTAGCAGCAGCAGGACGAGTGGCCTTCGGGCCTGGAGACACGGGACATTAGTACTGTGTGCTCAGACCACACGGCGGCCCTCCGCCCTGCACCCCCCTCGGATCTCAGACTCCCCCACAGAGCTCTTACCTATCCTCTCTTTCCGACACTCACCTTGAAAGAGACAGGCTCTCTGCTGTGGGCACCCAGAGGGGTCCTCTCAGCACCTTTCTCCTTGGCTGTCACCAATGCTCTCAGAGATACTCGGCCAAATCCACAGCTTTCCAAAAGTGAACTGTCTCACCTGCCTGCAAAATTTCCGACTGTTTTAAGGACGGGTCTGGGTGTGGGGTTTTATGTGTGTTTATTCAAACTGGAAATCTCCGAGCTTCATTAGCCGGCACACTCGTGTCTTGAATGGTTTACGAGAAGCACTCAGCCTTTAGCCCTCTGAGTACCGCCTCCACCCCACAGCCTCTCCTTGCCTTCGGAGCTCGGGGGTGTGGGCCCCCAGCTCCCCCACCTCCCATGTCACTGAACCTCCCAGCGGCCATTTGGTTTCCCGTGGGGCCACCCGCATAGCCTTCTCCTCTGCCTTCCAGTTCATTCTGCACCATGAATCCCATCCATGGAAATGTTTTAGTTATTATAGAGCCATTTTTTAGAAACGCTACTTTTTAATAAATTTGGCTATTCTTTATAATTCCTTTCCTTTGCCTAAAATCTCTAAATGGTATGAAATCATGTAGTGTTCTGTGTCTGAATTCTATCAGCTTGTGAAGTCATAGGCCACATTCTGATTCTGCCCACACTCTCACATTTTATTAGAGATGGATCATTTTCTTTAAGAAATGGACTGCAGGGAGTCTGCATTCCTTCCAGGATGTGGGCATGTCCCCTCAGAGAGCCACGTGTGCCCTGGCGGATGACCCCTCCCCGGCCCCTCATCTTCCGTCTTCCTGAGCAAGGCTGCCCACATCACTTTAAGCTCGTAGCCTGACGCTTGGCACCCTCCGCGCCCCGCCTCAAGCCCAGGGATGAGAACTTGTCACTAGACCTGTTTCCTGTTTGGGACTAGCTCAGGGCTCCAATCTCCCTGGGATTTCCACCCACCCTGCTCAGCACCAAAAACTCGCCTCGCACTCCCTGGGGCCGGGAAGGTGTGTTTTGGGCTCGCCCAGGGTGTGACCTTTTGGGGTTGCCACCCTTCGAGGGGCAGGGTGCCTCTCACCCCTCGTTGGGGGTGGGCATCTGCCTCCCACATCCCTCAAGCCTTGGGACCTCCAGCCGGATGGTCCTGGTCCACAAAGGCTGATCCCTGCAGACTCACCTGATTGTGTTTTGCTTTTTGCCTTTTGTTGCTTTTCAGAAGGTGTTTTTCATGTTTCATGGTCAGTTCAGTTCAGTCGTTCAATCGTGTCCAACTCTGCGACCCCATGGACTGCAGCACGCCAGGCCCCCCTGTCCATCACCAACTCCCGGAGTTTACTCAAACTCATGTCCATCGCGTCGGTGATGCCATCCAGCCATCTCCTCCTGTGTCGTCCCCTTCTCCTCCTGCCCCCAATCTTTCCCCGCATCAGGGTCTTTCCCAGGGAGTCGGCTCAGGTTGCTGTTTTCTCCCAGAAGGACTGATCTGGATCCACAGCACCAGCTCCTGAGTGGACTCGCCCCACTTTGGGGCCTCCACGTGCTCCCCCCACGCCCCCTCCTTCACCCCAGGATGTGCAGCGCGTTGCTCCCCTGTGTCTCAGCCCTTGAGGGACGGCGCAGCGCCCCCTGCCTTCCTCATGCCGCCCCTCTGCCCTTGAGGGCCTGGCCCCTCCCGGGTCTGGCCCGGCCGGCCCCACCCCCGTTAGGCCTGGGCTGCGTGGTGCGCAGAGTGCTGCCGGCAGACCAGCCCCCTGGCCTCTGCGCCTGCTCACCTGAAAACGTGGCCCCCCGCCCCGGCCTCCTGCACCCTCACGTGCCGTGCAGGCCCCGGCGCACCCAGGCTGGCTCCCGTCCCTGGGGAGGCCCCGTTCCTGGGCTGGGGCTTAGCGCTGCTCCAGGCTCCGGGAAGCCGCGGGCTGCTTTGCATAGAGATGGGGCGGCCCGTCCCGCCCCGCCTGCCCCTGGCGAGAAGTGACTCAGCCAGGCTATCGGCAGGGCTGCTGGTGGCTCCGGCAGATGTGGCAACTCAGCCCGTGGCACTCCTGGGCTGGGCCCGAGGCTGGGAGAGCCTGGGGAAGCCCCCGCGGCCCCGCCGGGCCAGGCGCAGGCTGCAGCTCGCCCGGAGCCGGCCTTCAGAGGCCCGGCAGCCCCAGGCTGAGTCACGGCCCGGAGCACGGGGGAGGGGTGGGCGCGCGGTGCGGGTCCACCCGGCTCCCTGAGAAAGTCACAGATGGGGCCGCTCAGAGTAAGGACAGAGGCTGCGGGAGCCTCACCCCTTGGCTCTGGGGGGTGGTCCAGCCTCTTGGAGGTCCTGCCGGCTGGCTCACGCCCCTCGGCTATTGGAGGAACTGGGGAAATCCTGGAGAAACAGCAGATTCCGCTCGACGGGGCTCCAGGCGCCCAGGCTCCGCAGGGCGGGGCCGGAGGAGTGCGTCCTTCTGCAGGCCGCGGCCCCTGTCCAAGCAGCAGGGGAGACCCAGGGAGCAGGCGGGATAGGGGCGAGAACCAGGGTCCCGCAGTCCCGTCCTGTGCCCACAGGGCCCTGGGGCCAGCACCCTCCTGGCCAGCAGGCGTCCTCCGCCAGGTCTCCTGAGCGGGCCCTGAGGGGGCGGTCCAGGGACCCTGCTCCCGAGGCTGGACGCCCGGAGGGCTCTGTGGGGAGGCTCGTGGGTGCCAATGGGGCTTTGGGCTCCAGCCATCTTGAGCGTGCTCATAACCTCCTACGAGAGTCCCCGGGTTCGCTCACTGCCCCTAACCCTAACCGGGACTCCTCTCCTGGGGCAGGGAAGACGTGCGCAGTCCCCAGGGCCTCGGCCCTCGGCCTGGAGTGGAGGTCCTGGCTTTTCTGGGAGCGGGGTCGCCGGATGTACTCCGTGTGGGAGCGGGTGGGCTTGGGAGCCAGCTGGGACTGACCTCCGGGGAGACCAGCGCCTCGCAGGGGGTGAGGGGGGCGAGTCCGAGGGGGCACGCCCTGGGGCCCAGAGTCTCAGGGACCCATGACTGTGGCCAGAGACGAGGTCCTGGTGCGGGACCAGTGGGCCTGGTCTAGGGTGGCGACTTCACGGGCTGACCGGAGCAGTCTGGGAGCTGGTGGGTGGCCTCGGGGGGCGCGATCCGGGGCAGGGGGGCGGGGCCTGGGCATGTGGGCGTGGTCGGGCGGGTGGGCGTGGTCGGGGCTGGGTGGGCGCGATCCGGGAGGAGGCCCGCGCCTCGGCGGGCGATGGCGGGTGCAGTCTCAGGACCCTTCTCTCCCTTTCTCTCCGCCGTAGGGTTGCCAACGGCCCTCCCAGCGCCCTGCCTGGTGTGCCGAGGCTCGCTGCCGCCCGCCGGTCCCTGCAAGCGCTGCCGCTCCTTCTGCGCCGCCGTCCTGCAGGGCGCCACCTTCGTGCCCCTCGGCGACGAGCTAGGCAGCGGGCTGTGGACCCCGTGACGCCGAGCACCAGGGCCGGAGCGACGCGCCCGGGCCCCGCGGCCTCCAGAGCGTGGTTCGTTTCTTTGAAAACCTCCACGTAGATGCGGGACCTTGTATACAGAGCTATTTTAGCGAACCTGTGCATCTTCACCTTGGTATTTCTTGTGGAGCCTCGGCCCCCGGCCCGCCCGCTGCCCGCGCCCCAAGCCCGCCTTCACCCCGGGCCCCTGGCTGCACCGCCTGTGCCACATCCCCCTGCCTCCCTCTCAGCCCGCAGCCCTGCCCGGGGGGGAGGCGGACCCTGCCACGGGCGCCCCTCCCCAGGCGCCCTCCTCGCTGGAGGCCGCCCCCTCCCCAGAGGCCCCTTGTTCTCTCATTGATTCAGCAAAAGCCTGGCGGTGCTGCTCCAGGTTCTGTGCGCCCGAGCGTCTCCTTCTAACCGGGCACTGAACGAGGGGGCGAAGGGGCGCCCGCACGGGGTCGAACACCTCAGGGTCCACCGCAGGCGGGCTTTCGGGGCCCCGGGCCGTCCGTGGGCCGTGCAGGCTGCGGAGACCGGAGATGGGTGAGCCCCTGCATCGCAGCTCAGGCTGGGGCGTCCCAGCCACCCGCACCTACAGGGGACGGGGAGCCTGGGAAGGGTCACAGGGCCTGTTCCTTCTGGGGGCAGCTTCGTTTCTGACCGCCTGCAGCCCCTCAGCACTGGCATGGCGTGCTCTGGGCCCTGGGGGTGTTGGCCGGCAGGTGGGCCAGGACCGGGGCCTCGTGGGGCCTCCTCGCTCCAGGAAGAGCCAGTGCCCACGGAGTCACTGGGTGCACAGTCCCCACCTGCCCCCCGAGTGAGAAAACAGGTGGTGGCACTCAGTCCCGGCCTCAGGCTGGTCCTCCCCGCTCGGCCTGGTGGACAGCGTCTGGGCACACAGCCCGCAGCCCTCCTGACCTGAGCCCTCTGGCTGACCCAGGGAGCTCTGGCAGCCTGACTCAGAGGGGACCAGGCCAGGGACAGCGGGGGGACTAGCGCCTGGACTTCCCGGCCACCCCAGATGCCCCAGCCAACAGCTGACCGCACCCCACGGGGGACCACAGGTGAACACTGCCCCGAGGGCTCCATCCCCCACTGGCTCTGCCTCTGGCTTCTGGGAGGGGTGGGGGCGCAGGCAGTGGAGACCATGGTCCTGGGTGATATTTGCCGGCGGGTCCCACCTCCGAGGACTAAGCTCCATCGGGGTTTCCCATATTGGTTCCTGCCTCCTGTGGCCCGAGTCCACTTCCCATCTCAGGTCAGACGAGTGGGCGACAGACAGGCGAGCAGCCAGGGCCTGGGGCCCCCCAGGGAGCCAGCCCGGGGGTGCTGCCAGCTGGGTCAGCTCCCCTCCACGCTTGCAGCACCCTGTTGGGGTTCCAACCAGATCCCCAGCTCCCTGGGCCCTGGAGGGGTGTCCGGGCTCTCCAGCAACTCCCTCTTTTCCATGCCTCGACTCAGGGGATGTGCCCTTGGGGCCAGAGGTGCTCAGACCTGCCAGCCAGTGAGGGAGGCAGGCTGGACCCGGGAAGGAGACCAAGGACCCCCGGGCCACACCTCAGCCTAGGGCTGGGGGCAGGCAGGGCGCTGTGAGCGCCTGCGTGGAGGTCTCTGCACAGACGACCCAAATGGAGAAGGGACAGAGTGAGCTCCCTGCACAAGCCAGGCCCCAGAGTCAGCCTCAGGGCAGCGCTCTCTGGGGCGATGGACAGCGGAGCAAGGGCTCAGCAAAGTGGGGCAGCCTCTCACACCCAGAGGAGGGACGGGGCACTCAGGACTGGAGGGGTGGCCCAGGCTTGTGGGAGCTGGGGCTGGTTCCGGGTAGGGCTCCCACCTCTCTGCCAGCCCCGCTGAGGCTGACGACCGGGGCAAGGGCCACCTTCCATCTCCCGACTTTGGGACAGAGGCCTGAGAGACGGGGCGGCGGGGGACAAGCCCACAGGCAGCCCTGCCCCGGCTGCCAGCCCCAGGGGCACCCAGCCACCGGAGACCCCAGAGCCCCACAGTTCCAGGATGTCTCCTTTGACAGCCTGGAAACTCCAGGGCGTCTGGCCAGGGGCCAGAGCCTGCAGGCGGAAGCTGTGGGCTGTGGCTGTGGCCGGCCCACTGGGAGGGGGAGTGTCTGCCCCAGGAGCGAACTCACTCCAGGCTGAGCCACAGGCCAGGAAGGCAAGGCACAGCCGCCACGGGCCGCCCCTCGTGCCCGTGCTTGGCGGGCACCGTTCTCGGGCCAGATGCTGGCTGGGCGCGCCGTCGCCTTGCTCTGCCTGACCTGGGGCACCTACCAGAGCTTGGCCGTCCCCAGGGTCACGGAATGCGGCCTCTCCTGTTCCCAGGTGAGCCTGTCCTTGCTGAACTCTCCTGTGAGGGGCCCTGCCTCCGCCTGGCTGGCCGCTGGCCTGGCCCCGCTACACACGCGACTCAGAGTGACTAGCAAGGGGCCCGGGGCCTGGGGTGGTGGGTGGTCGGAGGCCCATGGCTCCCCCGAGGTGGTGGCCTGACCCACGGTGCCAGTTGGGGAAGCATTTGCCTGGAGCGTGTGGGGCACCAAGGCCCCATAAGTGTCCTTTCCCAGGGAGCCATGCTGGGGCACAGCCCATCCTGTGTTCACAGGGCCGTTTCATCACCTGGGATGCGGGCTAGGGCGGTGTCCGGGCTTGTGTGGACGCCCAGCTAAGGAAATGCCGTGGGCACCAAGCTCATTCTGGGTGGGAAGGCACCACGGGGCAAGGATGTGGCTCGGAAGTGGTGTCCTGGGACTTTCACGGTGCCCCAGCCAGCAGCACCCTGTCCTCAGAGGTACCCCAGCTTGAGACTGGGGAGGCTGGTCGCTGGGCCGGGGGCCGGGGAGCCCCAGTTACGGGCCCTCCTCCAGGTGGGGGTCAGCGGGGACCGGGGCAGACACAGGGCAAGCAGGCTCGGGGAGCGGTGGCAGCTGGCACCAGAGCTCGGGGGACACTGGGGCACACAGTCAGCCCCGAGTCAGGAGGCAAGGCAGCTCCCCAGGGCCTGGAGTGCGTCTGGCAGAGGGTCCAGGGAGGGACAGGGCAGCCTCGGGGGGCCAGGGGTCAGGCAGAGCCTCAGAAGTGGGACTCAGGTCCTGGGTGCAGGGACCCATGGCGGGTCCTTCTGGTTCCTGGTGGGACTGGTGGGTGCAGAGGGAACAGCCGGGCTGAATAGGGGTGGTGCGTGGTGATGGTGAAAGGGTGGGCTGCTTCGGGGGCAATGTGAGGTGGAGCTGCAGTACTGGGTCCCAGACCTCAAGGGAAGGAAGAAGCCAGGATGAATCTTAAGACGCGGCTGTAGTACCTGGGCTCAGGGAAATACGGGAATTTTGAAATACGGGGTTTGAGAAGCCCAGACACGGAGGACTGGTGTTGGGACAGCGGTGAGGCCGCAGCGGTGTGCAGGGCTCCCTCCGTGGGGTGGGCCTGGATGGTGGGGGAAGGGCTGGGGCGGGGGGAGAGGCCGGAGGAGCCCCCCAGCCCGCTGCGGCCCCCCACCCAGGGAGAGGGCTGGGCCCGGGCACCGCCTTGGCACCCAGCTGGGGCGGCGGGATCAAGGGAGGGGGGTGTGGGATGGGGAGAGCAGAGGACAGAGCCTGAAGGGCCTGGGGGAGGGGCTGGGGGAGGGGTCAGGAGGCCCAGGTTGGTGGGCTGCCTCGGCCGCCTCTGAAGCCCCCCCACCTGCACAGAGACCCCCGAAGCGCTCTGGGCCTTGACAGCCTTCAGGCAGGGCGGGGCCAGGAAGGTGGGGAGAGGAACCGCTGAGCACGGGGCGCCTGGGGCTGAGGGGCGGTCGGGGCCCCGCCCCAAGCACCTAGGACCTTGTCCTCCCCATCCGATGGGGCGGCAGGGTGAGGACCAGGCCCGCTGGGCCCCTCCCCACAGACCGCCCCCCTTGCCGACCCACCTGGGAAGCCCCGAGAAGCCCAACGGTGGAAACCCCCGAGGGTGGGGGGTAGGGCAGGGGCAGCCGCTTCTCCGCCCCCGCCCACCTCGACAAAAGGCGCAGACCGGCCCTCTCCCGCATCCGCCACCCTCAGCTCCCCCAGGCGCCACCATCCACCGGGGCTCTCTGACCTTGACCTTTGCCCCAGGGAGGTTCTGGACACCCAAGGTCCAAGCACCAGACCACACCCACCCCCACCAGTAACCCAGGGCGGTGGCTCTGTGGTCCTCAAGCACAGGTGGTCTCCAGGGGCGGCCATGCCCCAGGACCAGGACACAGGTCAACCTCCCCACTCCCTGGAGCCCCTGCCAGCTTGGGAGGGGGTGGACTCAGGCCACAGGGATGCGGGGGCTGGTTCCAGGCCTCGGGGCTGTGGGAGGACCGAGGTGGCCACGCAGGGCTGTGGCCCAGGCCCGCGGCCGCCCTGCCTTGCTGGGCCCACCCCGCGTCGCCCGCTGGCCCCTGGGCCCGCTGGACTGGCCGTCTCACCCTCCGCCTGTCTGCTCGGTCGGGTTCTGGGCGGGACACCCAGGCAGGTGCAGCCCCTTTACCCATCCGGGCCCCCCCGCCCCCGGTCACCTTCTTCAGCCCGAGGACCAGAGACAGGCCCCTGGGGTCACCTCAGTGGGGTTTGTGCAGCTGGGGGCTGACGGCCTTAGTGTCTCAGGGGGATGTCATGATCAGAAGAAGGGGGGGATGAGGGGTGATGGTGAAAAGGCTGGGGCAGACAAGGTGCCTGGGTGGGGACAGGGGGCCCAGAGTCTGGGGCGCAGCCAGGAGTGACATCCGGTTACCCAGGTGTTAGCATCCGGGGTCACTGGGAGAAGCTCAATGCCATCCTTGCAGCTTTTCTATAAACCTAAGATTACTCCAAAATGAAGACTATTTAGGAAGGGGGGTAGCACTGGAGATGGACCCCCAGGAGCGCCTGCCCCCCAGACCCAGGGAGGAGGAGCAGACCCCTACCCCCACCTGTGCCGGCAAGGAGCCCCCAGCTGTTGGAGCTTCTGCCCGCGAGGGGGCCCCCACCTTCCTGAGCCCCCTCATCTCCCACCTGACCCAAGGCGTCACTGACTGGCGTGAGCTGGGTCCTTGCAACCTGCTCTCTCCCTGCACCCGGGCCCCACACCGCCAGCTCTGGGGGGTGCTGCGGTGCTTGGAGTACCACGTGTGTTGGGGGTGGGCCTGAAGGTCCAGGGGCGCAGGTCGCCGGGTGGGGCTCTGGGGGTGACTCGAGGCGGCCGCTGACCCCTCACTCCCTCTCAATGTTCTGTCTGCAGGGCTTCGCCTGCAAGAGCCGCGTGAACCGTGAGTACATCTCAGACCTCCTGGTCCGTGTCACCCTCTCCTCCCATGGCCAGGGTCTCCCTCGCAGGAGCGCTGACACCCCCTCCACCTCACCTGGCAGAGTCATCCCTGCCACCGCCTGCGGCAGGAGGGCACGGCCCCCCTCCACGCCCAGCTGCTGGCTTGCTGGACGCGGGAGTCGCGGGGTCCTATTGGAATTTGCTGCTTTGCGAAGTGGCCACGCCAGTCTCCACCTCACCAGCAATACATGGAACCTCCATTTTCTTATCACATGCCCCTTTTTTGCTTACCCTAATACGACATCCTATTTTAATAGCTTTATTATCTTTGCAGACACTTTATATTTTATTTAGAAAGGGGCATAAGGTACGCAGTGGAGGAAGGCATGGTAACCCACTCCAGTATTCTTGCCTGGAGAATCCCATGGATAGAGGAGCCTAGCAGGCTACAGTCCATGGGGTCGCAAAAAGTCAGACACGACTGAAGCGACTTAGCATGCATGCACGCAGGGGACGTAGAATATATAAGCAGAAAAGTTCAAATAAATCTAGCTCCAAAGCCCTCTTAGAGAAATAAATGCTATTTATCCTAGGAAGACATAGTTCTAGACATCTTTGTAGGCAAATATACTGTTCCTGGATAAACAGATAACAAAGATTTTATAAAAGTGAAATTACTTTATTCCATTTAAAATCAGTATTTTAATTTTACTTTAATAGGAAAAACCAAAGAAATGGCTAAACTTTAATTGAATGTTTCTTCGCCGCGGGAGGGGTTACTTCTCGAGGACCCCCCAAGGTTAAGGAGTGGGATGATGAGACAGGACGCAGATCCCTGAGCCAACAGCCTGCCCCCACCCCAGGCAGGCCCCTGTCACTGGTGTGTCTGACTGCAGTCAGCAGTTGTGGGGTTGAACGGCATCATCAGGTCACAGCCTGTGCCTAGAACCCCCGCAAGGGTGAGAAGCCCGAGCCCACCCCCACCCCCTCCCCCGGTGTTTCTGCCGAGGGGCCTGCAGGCTTCGCTCCGGCCCAGGCTGGGCCCTTCCTGGATCCCTGCGAGCTTCTGGCTAGACGATGCGGTTGTTCCGTAACCTCAGGGCGCATTTCCACTCCCACCTGAGCGCAGGCCTCTGCTCTGGCAACACCACCGGCTTCCTCGTTCCCGTCTTTCTCTGTGGCTTTTGCTGTGATCATTCCAAGTCAGCCACATCTCCTGATTTGCCATCTTCACTGTACTCATTTGATCCGAGATGAGGTGTCCGGCTCCCTGACTGGCTCTCGCGCCCCGTCTCTGCTGGGCCCCCTGCGCTGTGACCACCGTGCTGGGCCCGCGTGTCCCTGACACTGTGTCCCTTCGCGGTGGACGTTCCCTCCGTCCCGCCATGCCGCTCTCTCCCCCCAACATGCTGTCTTCGTTTCCCTCCTTTCCTCCCTGTCTGTCCTCTCCTCCACACTGTTTTTATGTTTCCTACACTCCATCGTCTGTGATGTTCCTTCAGTCTTGGTCAAACGTGGGCAGCTCCCTATGGACCCCCAGATTACTCAGACCCCCGCCTCACTCACTGACCCCAAACCCATGGGGTTTCCCCTGTGGACCTGCTGTGTGCAAGGGCCAGATGTCAGGATGGCCCCAGGCATGCGAGGGCACGGGGAACTCGGCCGGGCAGGCCCTGGGGGTGGTGGGGCTGTGGGGAGGGGCCCTCGGCTTCTAGGGGACCTGGGGGCCATCACGGTCTCCCTCCCTGCCCCTCCCTTCCCTCGTAGCCCAGTGGGAGCCGTGAAAATGCAGGACACCCGCCCGGCCTCCTTCTCTCCAGATGGGGGGCGCAGAGGGGGCTCCCCACGGATTCCCGGGCTTTGTCAGCCCCCAGCAGGGCTTCTGGGGGCGGGGTCCCCAGGCAGGGCCACAGCTCGTGCCTGGCCCACGTGCTCGGTCCGCTGCGGGGGCAGTATGGGTTCTGGCAGGTATGGAGGGTGTTTCGTGAGGGACCCCCACACACTCCCGTCTCTGTTTGTGTGTCTCTGACAACACAGATCTGCGTGGGCTCCTCCCGTGGCGACGGCAATCACCCCGCGTCACAGCTCTTCCCACTGTTCCTCCTCCTCGGCCTCAGGCTGAGAGTCACACGCTTCGGTTTTGATGCAATAGTATTCACACGCCTCCCCCTCAGGATTTCGTGAATTGGAGGGGATCTTTTAAGAAGTCTTCCCCGTTCTGAGGTCATAGAGACTTCCTCCCTGTCTTCCTGTGTTTCTCTGTTAAAGTTTTGGTTCTCAGACTCAGGTCTTTGGTTCAGCTAGCGCTTGTTTCTGTGTGCCGTGAGGCAAGCGCCCAACTGCGATCTTTGCTGCCTGGAAATCCCGCAGTGACCACACCAAGTGCCGGACGCCTCCACCCCCACCCCGCCCGTCTTCAGGCTTCCACGCGGTGCGGGCGGTTCCCCGAAGGCCTCTCCTCCTGAGCGAGGCCACCCTGAGTCCTGGGGGCCCCTCCCTACGCCCCCCCAACCTGCGGACCTGCACACTGGATGAGTAGATCTAAGCTGGATGTGACTTCTGGGGGGGTGACCCTTCAGCTTCATTTCTTTCCTAAATTGTCCTGGGAGATGGCAGTGTCGCTGAGGCGGCCCTGAATCCAGATGCAAGAGCAAGGAGGGCATCAAATAGAAGCAGGGTCCACGCTCCAGACCCAGAGACAGGCCCCAGGGCCCCGGGTGGGAGGGGCAACAGAAGGAAAGGGGAGTCTGAACCCAGCAGCGGTGAGCACCACTGGGGAGCACACCGCGCCTGCTCAGGCCCCCTGGGAGGCGGCCCCGCACGGAGAAGCTCCAAGAGGCTCCGGGACAGCCCGGCAAGAGCAGCGGCAGGTGGGTGAGGGCCGCGGAAGGAAGGGCGGGCAACCCGACGGCAGAGCGCGTGCCCCGCCGCGACAGCAGAGGGCGCTGCGCGCAGCGCGGAACGCGGAGCCCAGCCGCGGCTCCAGGCGCGGAAAGCGCCCTTCGCAGAGACGTGGCCAAGGGGGCTGTGGGGACGGGCCCCGGACGCTGACGAGGCTAAAGAGAATGAGGAGCAGAACCAGGCCCCGACAGCAAGGGAGGCGCACCAGAACACCCTGCACGCCCGCAAGTGTAACTTCAGAGTGTTTAAAATAGCCAGTTCAGTTCAGTAGCTCAGTCATGTTCAGACTTCAGATTCTTGCCGACCCCACGGACCGCAGCACGCCAGGCCTCCCTGCCCATCACCAACTCCTGGAGTCTGCTCAAACTCATGTCCATCGAGTCAGTGATGCCATCCAACCATCTCATCCTCTGTCGTCCCCGTCTCCTCCTGCTTTCAATCTTTCCAGCATCAGGGTCTTTTCCAATGAGTCATTCTTCACATTAGTGGCCAAACTATTGGAGCTTCAGCCTCAGCATCAGTCCTTCCAATGAATACTCAGGATTGATTTCCTTTAGGATGGACTGGTTTGATCTCTTTGCCATCCAAGGAACTGTTAAGAGTCTTTTCCAACACTACAGTTGAAAAGCATCAATTCTTCGGCACTCAGCTTTCTTTATGGTCCAACTCTCACATCCATACATGACTACCAGAAAAACCATAGCTTTGACTAGACAGACCTTTGTTGGCAAAGTAATGTCTCTGCTTTTTAATATGCTGTCTAGGTTGATCAGAGCTTTTCTTCAAAGGAGCAAGCGTCTTTTAATTTCATGGCTGCAAAATAATAATAATAATAATAATTTCATGGCTGCAGTCACCATCTGCAGTGATATTGGACCCCAGGAAAATAAAGTCTGTTACTGTTTCCATTGTTTCCCCATCTATTTGCCATGAAGTGATGGGACCAGATGCCATGATCGTTTTTTGAATGTTGAGTTTTAAGCCAGCTTTTTCGCTTTCCTCTTTCACTTTCATCAAGAGGCTCTTTAGTTCTTCTTCAATTTCTGCCATAAGGATGGTGTCATCTGCATATCTGAGGTTCTTGATATTTCTCCTGGCAATTTTGATCCCAGCTTGTGCTTCATTCAGCCTGGCATTTTGTGTGATGTACTCTGCATATAAGTAAAACAAGCAAGGTGATAAAATACAGCCTTGATGTACTCCTTTTCCAACTTGGAACCAGTCCATGTGTCCGTGTTACATGTCCGGTTCTAACTGTTGCTTCCCAACCTGCATACAGGTTTCAAAGGATGCAGGTGAGGTGGTCTGGTATTCCCATCTCTTAAAGAATTTTCCACAGATTGTTGTGATCCACACAGTCAAAGGTTTTGGCAATAAAGCAGAAGTAGATGTTTTTCTGGAATTCTCTTGCTTTTTGTATGATCCAACAGATATTGACAATTCGATCTCTGATTCCTCTGCCTTCTCTAAATCCAGCTTGAACATTGGGAAGTTCTCAGTTCATGTATTGTTGAAGCCTGGCTTGGAGAATTTTGAACATTATTTTGCTAGCATGTGAGATGAGTGTAATTGTGCAGGAGTTTGAACATTCTTTGGCATTGCCTTTCTTTGGGACTGGAATGAAAACTGACCTTTCTCAGTCCTGTGATCACTGCTGAGTTTTCCAAATTTGCTGGCACTTTAACAGCATCATCTTGTAGGATTTGAAATAGCTCAACTGGAATTCCATCACCTCCACTAGCTTTGTTTGTAGTGATGCTTCCTAAGGCCCACTTGACTTCTTATTCCAGGATGTCTGGCTCTAGGTGAGTGATCACACCATCATGATTATCTGGGTCGTGAAGATCATTTCTGTGCAGGTCTTCTGTGTATTCTTGCCACCTCTTCTTAATATCTTCTGCTTCTGTTAGGTCCCTACCATTTCTGTCCTTTACTGTGCCCATCTTTGCATGAAATGTTAGAATACTCAAGAATTGGATACAGATGTTAAAGAACAATAGGAACAAAAATTAGGAAATTTCAGAAATGAGGTGACAACACTCGGGCTTAAAAATAAAGGAAAAAATCACTGCAGAAATGAAGACTACGTTAGAAGTAGTG